TCAAAGGTGAAGAAGTTACCTATTTGCAAAACTCTGTCTTCTATGATACTACATCCAAAAACTCATGACACTGTTATCATTCATTAATAAACAACTGCTTAATGAGGACTTTCCCACTCAAACTGATTTTTAAGATGGTCTAAGAGTCATGAATATTCATATCCTAGCTCTTACTGATTTGTCCTTAAATCAAGTTAGGTGAACAGATATCAGCATAATTATAACTTATTGGATAGATTCTTAAATAATTTTTGTTTTTTAAYTAYAGCTTTCATTTTGAGTTGCCCATCATATGTGAACTGCCATGTGATAAACATTTTGATAGTTTCTGCAAGAGTGCATGCACTGCTATCTATTTCTCTTAGTGTTAGTCATAGAACATTATACTTAGTAACTTCTATTGGAACTAAAAGCAAATTTTCTATTTTTATATAGRCTCAAATGCTTCCTGTTTTTAAAGCACACAAGTGGAACCACACAATCTATATTACTTCTATTTTGTTGTTGAYGTTGTTCTTGGTTGTTAAGAAGCATAAAGAGATATGTGCTCTTGGTAGAAGAAACTACGTCATTTTGGAGCCATTTGATTACCTTTCTTTCTCTATCTTTTATAAACCTAGGTATTGACTACTGTATCTTTAAAGTAGACAGGTAACAAATAAAAAGAAAAAAAAGTTAATTTGGATGTTTTAGTTCCCTACCCCTTTAAAAGGGGATACAAAAAGAAACCTTTTTGTATTCCCTTCTTGCTTTCTCAAGAGTAATATACCTTTGCTTCCAATTTCTGTTAAACATTCTACACTAATCATAAGGTTTTCAGGAAACAGAATCTGTGCACTTTCAAGAAAACTCTCCATGTTTATAAAAGTTATAGAAATTTTAATGTAGAAAGAAAGGGGATTTCTGCAAAGTTCCCATCATACCAAAAATGTGCCCCAAACACATTTATTTTTATTATTTTATTATTAAATATTTATTTTATTATTAATAATTTATTATTAATAAAATATTTTATTATTTTTTGTGGTGCTGGGCATCAAATGCAGGGCCMTGCATATGCTAGGTAAGTGCTCTCCCACATCCCCAGACCTTTTTTTAATTTTTATTTTCAGAGAGGGTTTAACTAAGTTTCTCCAGCTTGCTTGGAAATTGAGATCCTCCTGCCTCAGCCTCCCGAGTAGCTGGGACCAAAAAATTTTTTTTCTAAATTTCTTCAAAGAAATTCTCAGCTGAGTAGATGGCAAAGATAGTTCACTGTGCCATTTTGTTAATTCTGAATACTTCACAAAGTCATCATTAATATGATTGGTGCAGGTAAAATGAGCAAAAGAAATGTGTGACTTTATTACAGTATTTTTWATGTATAATACATATATGTAGTATTACTGAAATGTATAATAGAGGTAAAAATATCTTCACAGTTCTTCCTCATGACAATTACATTGTATATTTGAGAAAAATTCCAATGTATAAGAAATAAACCTGCCATATTTGGAAATTTAATGAATAAAAACATGAAATGACTTAAGACACCAAGAAAGTATAAATGTATATATCTCTGATAACCAGAAATTAATGTTAATTAACTAGCAGTAATCACACATCAGATAAACCTCATTGGTTACGATACTGCCACTGTGCAAAGCTTGAATTAATGTCCTTTAAAATAAACTAAATGTACTTTATAAATGTTAGCAATCTCAAGTTTAGTTAAAGGGTATTCTAGGGCTGGGGTTGTGGCTCAGTAGTAGAGCTCTTGACTGGCATGTGTGAGGCATTGGTTTGATCCTCAGAACCACATAAAAATGTACTGTGCCCATCTACAACTAATACACACACACACACACACACACACACACATATTTTAAAGCCATTCTATTGGGACTGGGGATATAGCTTGGTGATAGGGAGCTTAGCATGCTCTGGTGCAGCACCACAAAAATATATACATATACAAAACTTTTTCTTTCTGGTGTTGGGGATTGAATGTAGGGGGAATTCTACCACTGAGCTACATACATTCCCAACCCTTTTTAAAATTTTACACAAGGTCTAGCTATGTTGTAGAAGCTGTTTTTGAATTCAAGATCCTCCTGCCTCAGCCTCCCTAGTAGATGGGTTTACAGACAAGTGCTACCAAGCCCAGCAAGAATCTATGTTCTTAACCGATAAATTGACTTTAAATGTTTGACACAAAGCTGCTACATAGCTAATAGGAAAAATATTATAAGCAGGAAGAGTATTATAGTTGATAAACTAGAAAACTATATAGAATATTAACTAAGTACTTTATAATTTGTTTATATAGTACATAATTAGTACAYTAATAATATTGTCATATTGTTTATATAAACGTTTAAATACATATTATCTATGTTTGTATACATTCATATATACACATACATATATATTTATAAACAAGGCATGAGGAAACAGAACAACTGGGTTGTGAGTGTGTGCGAAGTGCACGTAAATTTACTGGCATCTGCTTTATCAATTCTAAATACACATGAATCAGCTATACTAAGAGGTATTTTGATCCTAACTCAGAGAATGTATGATATGGACTCACCTGAATTAATGCATGATTGTCTTTAGAGAAGACCAAATCACCTGCCAGCAAAAGAGGCTCACTTTTCTCACAGCTCTCCTGACTGATGAGTGTGTCTGCRTAGTTGGGCTGCGGAAAGATCAAATGGCTTTTCCGCGAGTCGGCAGTGAGGGAGACCTCATGCGAATAGGTCTGTAGAAAAGCGCGCACCCCGTCCACGCCCACAAAGTGAGAGGCGGGTACGCCAGCCAATCCATTTCCTGCAGCCTGGAGCTGGCGCAAGGAGTGCCATCGCCTCAGCCTGAGCGCCAGCAACACAATAACAAAGGCCAGGAAGACACAGGACACTGCAGCCACCGCCACCACCAGGTAAAGTGTGAGGCCTGAGGTTTCAGAGTTAGCAGGAGACACTAGAGTGCCCAGATCTGCGAGAACGTCGGGGATGCTGTCGGCCACCACCACTGTGAGCGTGACAGTGGCCGAGAGAGGGGGCCGGCCGTGGTCCTGCACAGCCACCACCAGGCTCTGCTTGAGGGCATCTCTATCCAGCAGGGTCCTTGTGGTGCGCACCTCACCCGTGTGTAGCCCAACAGAGAAAAGCCCTGGCTCGCTGGCCTTCAACAGGCGGTAAGACAGCCAAGCATTCTGGCCTGAGTCCTTGTCCACTGCTACTACCTTAGTCACTAGGTATCCGGGCTCTGCAGATCGGGGTGCCAGCTCTACCCCAGTGGAGCCATCAGTGGGGAGGGCAGGATACAGGATCTCAGGAGTGTTGTCATTCTGGTCCAGAATGAAGAGGCTCAAAGACACGTTGCTGCTGAGTGGAGGTTTCCCACTGTCACGTGCCATTACTTGCAGCTGTAGCTCTTGGAATTGCTCATAGTCGAAGGAGTGCAATGCGTACAGAACGCCGGTGTCTGAGTTAATAGAGACATAGGAGGACACGGGTGCCCCCTGGAGGTTGTCCTCAGCCAGGGAATAAGTGACCTGGGCGTTCTCATCACAGTCGGGGTCGAGTGCAATCACGGAGATGATGGAGGCGCCTCTAGGGTTATTCTCTGGGAGAYAGGCAGAGTAGGAGGCCTGAAGGAAGACTGGCGAGTTATCGTTTGTATCTGTTACCTTCAAGGAGATATGAGTTTTAGTTGATAGGGGCAGACTTCCCCTGTCAGTGGCAGTCACCGTGATGTTGTAGCTATCAATCTGTTCCCGGTCTAAAACTGTGTCTGTGACCAAACTATAGTAATTTCCGTAAGATTTTTCTAATTTAAAGGGCAAATTCCCTTGGGTAAAACAGACTACTTGTCCATTTTCCCCAGAGTCTTGGTCATTTACTTTTAGAAGGGCAATTAATGTCCCTCTGGGAGAGTTTTCCGGAATTGAGTTGGTGAGAGAGGTGACGATTATTTCAGGGGCGTTGTCATTTACGTCCAGAACTGTGATCAGGACCTTGGTTCGGGCTGAATATCCTGCATTATCCATTGCTTGCACTTCCATCTCGTAGACACCTGATTCCTCATAGTTCAACTCCCCTATTGTTGATATCGTCCCTAAATTACTATCTAGTTTGAAAACTTGGGACGCCTTATCGTCCACGTACCGGAAGGAATACATCACCTTCCCATTGGCTCCTTCGTCCGGGTCAGTGGCATTTACTAGAAGCAGCTGAGTGCCCACCGCCACATTCTCCGGAACACTCACGTGATACTCGGACTGAGCAAACTCTGGTGCATTGTCGTTTGCATCAAGAACTATCACGCGGATGTGCGCGGTGCTGGTGCGGACCGGATCGCCCCCGTCCAAAGCCGTGAGGACCAGGTGGTGTGCGGCCTTTTCTTCGCGATCTAGGGCGTGTTCCAGGACCAGTTCCGGATACTTGTTACCGTCTGCTCCGTTTTGCACCTCCAGGGAGAAGTGAGGATTCGGGCTGAGCTTGTAGCTCTGCAGAGAGTTCTTCCCGACATCTGGATCCCAAGCGTGRGGAAGGGGGAACCGCATTCCAGTGGCTGCGTTTTCACTCATTTTTATTTCTAATTCACTTTCACGGAAGTAGGGAGCGTTATCGTTAATGTCCCTTACTTCTACTTCCACCCCGTATATTTTCACTTTATCCTCTATGAGAATCTCTAGATTTAATTGACATTTGATGGCTCCCATACAGAGTTCTTCGCGGTCTATCCTGCCTGCCGTGACCAAGCTGCCGCTTCGCGGGTTCAGAGCGAAAAGTTGAGTGTTACCTCCAGAGACGATGCGGATTCCTCCCTCTGCTAGCTCCCGGGGCTCCAGTCCCAGGTCCTTGGAGATGTCGCCCACCTTAGAGCCTTTCTCCAGCTCTTCAGGAATTGAATAGCGTATCAGGGTGCATCCGGCTTCCCAAAGGATCCCTAGGAGAACTCCCAGCAGGACCAGCCCCTTGCCATCTCGGTGAAGTCTTGCAGAAATCATTGTGTCACTTTCCTCTAGGATTATTTCTAATTCTACCCTTGACACCGAAGTCAGGATCAGCTCTCCTGTCTCCGGATAGTTGAGGCGAGCGGGTGGTGCGAGCTCCTCCGTTCAGTTTCTTCACAAAGATGGTCTGTTTCAATCTATCTGTGCTTGTGTTTTTGGCGCATGCAAGGCGAACAGGATCTCTGCTTTTCTCTCCCTGATTGGTGAACAGCGGCGCTCAGAGTCCTAACCAATTACTGCACAATCTTGAATTCCCGGGAAAGGATTTTTCATTTTTATACCTCAAATAGCTCCACCTACTGTTCGTCAAATAAGGATAGGAATGGAGCCTACTAAACCAATAGTATTTCTTTAAGTAGAAACTTCAGCGAGGTTATTTTAATTTCCTTAACATTTTCCATATAGAACCACTTTAAGATTGTTTTCTGTAGCTATTTTCCATTTTTTTCCAATCACTTTTTAAGAGACTTTGAAGTTTCCATAAAAGCAATTTTAATCTCATGATTTTAGTGCACTTGCTTTGAGATCCACACCCCTCAACACATCTATTATGGGAGGAGGCTCCCTAGGAACTTCCTGTTTTGATAGTTTTTGTAATAAAATAATTTAAACTTTCAGATTCAGCTATAATGTGGGGCATTTTTTTTCAGTAGATTTTTTCGTGTGCCTAAATGGAAGCACTACTTTAACAGTTTGGCATATAACACTTAAAATCGAATTTTCATGATTGCAGGGAAAATTAATAATGAGAAATTGAACACGTTATCAGAATCGTACCTGGAAGAAGTCAGGTGAACATGTATCAACGCTTTCAGAATTAAATGGAAGTGTTTCAACTTACATTAACTGGAAATAAAGGTAATACTCTACAATTCTAATAATACATTATAGGGGCTGGGGTTGTGGCTCAGTTGTAGAGCCCTTGCCTACATGTGTGAGGCACTGGGTTTGATTCTCAGCAGCACATATAAACAAATAAATAAATAAAGGTTCATCGATAACTAATAAAATTTTAAAAATAATACATTATATTTCAAAAGAATGTTTTGTGTTCAGAAAATCTTATTAAAAGAAAATTAGTAATCCAAAGAATGTTATAAACTTACCTTTTACTGGGTAACTGAACTACTTCCAGTTATTGAGAATTACCAGTATTATATTTGGAAACACATCAAAATACAGGAAAAAAATCCTCCTAAGAAATAACTGGCTACTATGCTTTCATGAGTGTAAATATTTACATTCTGAGGATAAGCACTTTTGGAAAGGTACTAGGATTGAACCCTGGGCCTCAGGCACTCTACAACTGAACTACAATCCAGTCCTTGGTAGTCACAAAATAATATCTTAAAAATTGGAGGGCTGGGGATGTAGCTCAGTGGTAGAGCTCTTGTCTGGCATGTATGAGGCCCTAAGTTCAATCCTCAGAAATTTTAAATAAGTAAATGTTGGGAGGGAATTTAGAGTTACCTGTAAAGRAAGATGAGACATAAAACTGACTACTTAGTGAAATTCCAAGAACCCCTAGTAAATATGTATATATATCTGAATATTATTATCAAATAATATTTTGATATACCTGAATATTACTATCAATATTACTGTCTTTATTTCTGTATAAAAGCCTTATGTGTTTCCTCTCAATTTATAGTTAATAAAGAAAAAGCCTTATATCCTCAAGATATTGATCGCTCAAGAAACACCTACAGTGGCACATGCCTATAATTTCAGTGACTTGGGAGGSTGAGGGAGGAAAACGGCATTTTTGTGGCAAAGCTCAGCAACTTAGCTAAGTCTTAAGCAATTTAGGGAGATTCTGTCTCAAAATTTTAAAAATGACCAAGGATATAGTTCAATTGTAAAGCACCCTGGGTTAAATTACCAGTACCAAACMAACAAAAACAGGAAAGAAAATAATTATAGTTCAAATATAGTTTAAAATATTTACATGGCAGTAGCATCATAAAGCTTACTTCTTACAGAGTTTGTTTTGTTTTGGTTATTTTGGTATGTGTGAATAAAATATCCCAAAATGCTGGAAGGTAAAGTAATCTACAATATTGAGAGTGAGCAAACAAACTTGAAGCAATTACCTGCTTAAGATTTTCTTGCCAAAATATTGGTATGAAAATTAAACCAAACCACATACAAATAAAGGACTCATTGAAACTCACGTGAGTAGAAGCAACAGAGTCAAAATTTATCTTGTTATTCTCCACAGTGACATTTACTGCCAAAGAAGCTTCATTAGAAAGATCTTGTTGGGGGAACATTTCTGGCGTCATAGTGAGAAAATTAAACTCTGTTTTGCGGGAATCCGAAGCAACGTACATATTGTATGAATAAGGCAAAGTTCCCTCATTGTAGTTGAGAGAAACGCTTGGCCTAGCYTGAGAACAGAGATCATAGTGAAAGCAACCCCAGGAAGCAGACCTGGAGGAGTGACCCAGGCGCATGGCAATAGCCAGAATCACTGCCAGGAGGAAGAGCACTGAGATCAAGSCCAAGGCCACCACCAGGTAAAACTGCAGCTCSTCTTGGGGGTCTGAGGGCACAGGGCGGTCACTGAGGTCTGGCAGTGCCTCCTGCAGGCTGTCAGCAAAGACCAGGAGCAGAGTGGCTGTTGCCGAAAGAGGCGGCTGGCCACCATCACGCACAGCGACCAGCAGGCGCTGGCGAGTCGCGTCC